GCGACGCAAAATACCAATACGGATGGGTATGGAAGGGTAGCGTGTAACGACCGAGGAGATCGCCGGGGAGGAAAAGAGAGAAAATTCCGCGGCGGTTCGCGATTTTAACGAGCGTCTCGAATATAGTCGCCCCGCATTATTCCCCGGCTCGGAATCAACGACCGTTGTGAAACGGGCTTTATCGCTCGGTGATCGTAAAGAGCGTACTAAACCGCGTTTTAATATATCGGTGCGGCTACGACAGTCGGCTTCAAGTTTTTCTCTCGCGTATATACGAGGGGGGAACGTAGCGTAATAAACGGCGATAGACGTTTTTCGAGACGCGGTTCGCGAAGAAGACAGTCTCGCGCTTTCGAATGCAACGCTCGCGACGTTACGATTTTAACGACACCGGTAATATTTATTTCGCAATGCGATAGAATTACCGTTAATACTTCAAACGCGGGCAAATTCGTCTGGATGAATATTTTACGAATCTGCTTCGGACAGGCCGCGATTAATTAAACCCGTTTGTTTTAATAATTCGATATTCATTCGGCGCGGTTTATCTTCGAAATTACGATTATTTTGTAAATTGCGAACGCTACAATGTATATATAGAAAATATAAATGTAGAAATTTGGCCTCGCGTGCACGCTCTGCTTTTAAATATAAATTAATCCGCCCATATTTTTATTACATTCGCGCTCGCGAGCATTATCAATAAATCGCGAAATGTATATTTCAATCGGCTCTGTTCTTGCGAAAATAATAATTTCGCTGAAAGCTTCGCGTAGCTTATGTTAACATATAGTGAAATCTAATTATATTTAAATACATCAACTTTATTATAAAATGTCGAGAACAAAATAATAAAAAAAAAAAAGCAATTAAAAATTTATCAATGACGTATATATTTTTTGTTTTTTTTTATTATCAAACTTTTTTTTTCATAGAACTCTCATCAAAGAGAACTAATTACAAATCGTTATAAAAATTTACTATCTAAAATACTGGGTAAAAGATTCTCTCTTCCTCCCGTGCATTTGGCGGATTTGAGGATGGAGAGGGAGAGAGACAGTTAAGAAGTGCAGCTACACGATCGTCTCGCCGCTGGAGACCCCAACGAAGCAATTGGTCTTTAATTAATAGACTTCACTGACGGAGGGAGACTGTCGGAGACGGGAGATCAGGATCTTAATTATCACGAGACTGGAAACGCCACTCTCGCGGTCGAGATGTCTAATACGAGTGGAGGAATACCGAGTGAAGGAATACGGCGACAATCAGTTACGATAATGGAATGAAGCCACTCGTAAACTCGATACGACGTGATTACGAATACTTTATAGAATCAATATTTTACAGTTGCATCGGGCCATTTTTTTTATATTGACAATTAAGAGGAATTAAACGGGGGAAATTCGGTACTATTTCTGCCTTTTCGTCTTTTCCCGGTTGAAAATAATTCGAGTTTTTATCTACGTTCGTATAAAATTCTCTCTTTCGAGAAAGACAGTTCGATAGAAGATTTAGGTTGAATTATTAGCTGAAACTCCTCGACTTACTCCGTGGATAGTCAGCCTCTAATCGTGACCGATCGAATCGCGAAAACGACTCTGGGATGGTGCAATCTCTTTTCAATTCACGAGCAGCGGAACGATATCGATCACGATCGGTATCTACCCCACGAACACGTTGGTTCGTCCCTTCTCGCGTTAGAGAAAGATAAAAAGACCCCTATCGTGCCTATCATCGTCCCCCAATGAAAATCGTACGTTCCTGAACGTACACTCTTTAGGCGATGACGATGTTTCTGGTCGTGTACGATTTGCAAATTTCGTCCTCGTTGCAATCTCATTACCTCGCGGTCGAATCGGCTTAATCAAGAACATACCGCAGCCTACGACTACAATGGCTTGCATTTTCGCTCGTATATTCGTGCTGCGAAATGACTCGGCAAATCAAGCCTCGACATATCGCGTGTCAGGGTTGTCGCAAATTCCTCATCCGAAAATTTCACAACTTATCCCCGATTTTCAAATCAAACTTCATATTTTTCCCTGACTTTCAATAATATTTGGAAACTTTATTGTACGCCATTTTATTGTTTTCATGCCGATTCGAATCGATTAAATATTTTATTGAGATTAATTTAACGTAGCAATGTAAATTACTATTATTAACGTTGCTTACACTGCTTGCATTTTTAATTGTTCAGTTGATAGTATTTCAAAATTACTTACTGCGTAAGCGTAATATATGTATATAGATATATTTAAACTTCTTTAAAGCCAAGATTGCTCTTCGGCTTATTTTCGAGAAAATTTTTCCAAATTCTCCGACCGTTTTTCCCCGACTTCCCCGATTTCCAGTCTCGCGGTAACACCCATCGCGATTACGAGAATTAATTCTCTTACCAAACGCGCATCGTTACCTCCAACACACAGCACTTTCGTGTTAAATAGAAACACGCGTTTTAAAATCTCACTCGCCCGACGAGAAAGTATCGCGCGTAGTTAACTGTTTCGCAAGCGGAAATATAAAGCGGAGGACATACGCTAAATGTATCGAGCGGCATTGCGAGCGTGACGAACGAAGTGCTTCGCGGCCGGTCTCCCGCCACGCTCGCGGTTCGCGCGCTCGTAAAAGAGTTTCACGAGCTCGACAATTACATGAAAGAGTCGTAAAGGCGTAACGCCCCGTGGCCGGGGCTACGCACCCGTCGTGGTATAACGATGTCGTGCCGGAGATCCAACGGCTCGCACAAACGTATATACATATATATATATATACGCGATGGCCTCCATCGATAACGAGTCCCGGGAGATTCGCCGGCCAGTAAACGCTGCCTCGCGATGTCACGTGTGGAAAATTTGAGGGAGGCCAGATACGAGGAGATCCCGGCTTTATATGTTACATCCCCCGCCCCCCCCCC